CTCATGTTGTTCTATTAATTATATTCTACAGCAGCTAGCACATTTTAAACTATAATCGAGTCAATTGAATTGGCAAACCTACTTAATAGCTATTCTCAAGATCTTAATAATGCTGCGTTAATTTGTAAAAAAAGTCATACAGACTTGTTCATTCAGTACAAACAATAAAATACTGTAAAAATTCGTATTTCTTTTGACGTATCGCACCCTGCATATGTTTTTTTATGTGTGATAAACACTGGTCGGAATAGATTGTTCCAAACGAGTAGATAAAAGTCTGCACACAGACATAAAGAACGACGAAGAATGAATAAAACCACCAAATAGTAATTAATTCCTGATTTCCGAAAATAGTTTTACGGCATCGTCACATAAAACTACTTACCTAAGAAGCTAAAGTTGGATTTTAAAGTCATTATAGTATGATGATGTGAAAACACGCACAGAGGCCAATTTCATTGTTAGTTATTAAGTATTAATCTAGGATAAGCTCTACTAACATTAAAATGGACCTTAAATGTTGTCTGAAATAAATAAATTATAATTTATTTATTTTTTTTTTATTTATTTCGCGTTTGTTACACATAGGAAACGAAACTATTTTTCCGGATTAAATCGCGTATATTTGTTTTTTCAAACATAACAACGTGTGATCACGGTTGACTCAACCGTGACAATGGTGACAAATTAATATTTGGTGAAACCAGCAACAACAAGTTAAAACTAACTATTCCATGTCATTCTTTGTATCTATATGTAAACATTTATCTATACATTTGGGGCACCCTATTTCCGACCACTGCTGATAAAGGAAAGGCATATTCCGTTTTCGCATAAGGTCCAATTCTTACAAATATCACGAACACGCGGACCTAAAAAGGCCTCATTAATGGGCCTAATTCGCAGATATCAGTGACAATCAGTGGCGTAGCGATTGCTTGTTAGTGGAGACACTTGTAATATCGCAGACGCATGCGACATCCGTGCCGTTAGTGAACCTATTCTTACAACACTCATACAAAATCGAAAATACCTAGGCTATAATAGCCTACTAAATCTCACTAATGAAACCAGGCGCTCACTACAAGGAAAAAGAAACCTAAGCACGCGCTCGGAAAGGTGAAAATAACGTTGCCCTCCGTGTGCAGTCGTGCGGAACCGAATCAAATGAAAGACTTGTCTGAGCTTTTGCACTGTCGGTGACATACTCAGCGGTAGGCACTTATCGCGTAACCTCGAGCAAGTGACGGAGCCCTGGGCGTTTCAGACGAGTTACACTACTTGTCTTATACTATGACGATACCGATATTGACAAATACGGATAGCTTCGTACAAAATGTACAATGAAAAACAATATTTATACTAATACCATTTTACAGAGACACTAATTTTTACGGCACTGATATGTGCGTATAGGCCCTTAAATCAAATAAAAACATTTTATAATGACGTTTTGAGAATAGGACCTATTGCGTAAGCGACAATGTGTGTCACGATGATCTTTTGCGAAAATGCACCCCACAAATTCACACTTTCGAGATGTTATGAATAATTTAAATGATCTGAATTATCTAACACATAGTGAAAGAACTGACATTCTTTTTGGTTGTTAAAGACGTTATGTATTATAGCCAATAACAAATTGTTCTCATATCACAACATCGGGAAAGTTTTGTACATCACATCACAATTTTACACAATATTTTTAAGCGAAATTACTAACTTTCACATTAAATTACATGTGTTTATATATTGTGTCGATTTATAGGTAAAGACACCTTATTCTATATAATATAATATTCTATATAAAGTACCTTCACCACGGATAAAGGTACATCAACTACAGGTAAAGAATAAAAATACCTTATCCATAGGTAAAGATACCTTGGCTACAGGTAAAAAAAGGTTATACTCTGGTACAAGCACCTTATCCACAGGTAAAAATACATTCTTTACAGGGAAAAGTATGAAATACACAGGTAAAATTACCTTATCCACAGAAAAAGGCATCTTATGGTGGAAATTTTAGGGCCGATTAATTCTTGTATCAAGTGGCCAAAGTAAGTGTGAGGCTTGGCCAAATTTGAATCGTCGCGCGTCGTTAATTTGCTACCAGAACTAAATACACAACTAGTCTGGTAAGTCACCATTGTGACCTCTAAAAGCGTAGGTTAAGAGCGCAATTCCTATATCAGCCACACGCATAGAGTTTACAAGGCCACGTGTCTAAATCAGGTATTTATTTACTTTCGCCAAAACTGACGGCGGTCACGCGTTTATGCATTCTCGAAATCGCTGCTGTGCGCAGGCTGTCTTCAATGTATGGAAATAGTAATTAATAGTTTGTTTTACTATTTAACAACAGAATTATTTGCCACTTAAAAGGTCCAGAAGGAACATAATATACAAGCATATGCATAATACAGAATTATTTATCAATATTACACTCCCAAGTGGCAATATATTAAAGAATTTTTAAAATATGATTTGTAAAACATTGTATAATACTATGATTTCTAACAAATAAGGTATTTCCTTTATAATAATATTAAAACTACATTAATAATAGAAATTTAGAAAATTTACAATAAACAATACAAATCAGCAAAAAAAAACTATAATTACATTATTATTCTTAAGCTGTTTAAAGTGCATATTTCAAGCCTCGGACTTCCCGAGATCGGTTCCACCCCAGTGTCGTTTTTATTTTTCTTAAAGTGGAATTAGCAGCTGCCTGGTTTCATAACCCATATGCACTCCTAAATTCCTTAAATTGAAAACTACTGAGAAACTCCGACATATTAACTGAAATAACGGATAATTTAAGTCGAATTTTTGCTCATGTTTTGAACCACTCCATGGTCCTTAATAATTAGCTTCCGTGGCGACGACACGACGAATACTGCATGCCAAAGCCCGGATAGCTCAGTCACTCAGTACAGGTGATGCGGGTGCAAGCGGTGGCGGCGAGCAACTACCTTCGTTTTCATCATTACTTATATGCAGTATTGCATACTACATTAACGTCACATTCTAAAATCTCATCTATACTAACCACTCACACGGTACCTAATATTGTTTTCCAGGCGGAGTATACCGATCAACCACTATCACGATTAAAATTCGAATGACGAGCAATCTCGATAGCTTCACATACTTTCAGCGGAATAAAATGGTTTGCCAGTATGGACACTTTATCAAAACGAAAATAATATTTACCTTGAGCCGGGGTGGAAACGGCTCCATGAAGATCGATCTTAAAAAGGCATGAATAGTTTTAATATAATTAACTAAACATCGTGAACGGTATTTGAACATTGCAAGCATTATATCTGTTTTAAACTAAAAAAAACCCTGTATTAATTCTACTGGGAAATAAGCCGCCTTGCAGTTAACTGCTTATTTTGATCTTCTCCTTATTAATTGCTATTGTTAGCGTTAGCAAACTTTTTAACGTATGTTTGGATTAAAATTTCACATATCGTCAGCAAAATTCATAAACCTTGTACCTTCATTAATGTCAACTATTGAGTAGGCAAAAACTGGAATAACTAAAAATAATTATACAATAATTTATGATTCCCACAAAATGTTTAATAGCAGAACCCACGGGAACCAATAAGACTTGATACTGGCAAAATCTTAAAAGAATACTGCCAATAAATAAGAATTTATAATTATACCTTTATTTTATAACTAAAAAGGGTCTAGAAATTATGTTTTAAACTTTAATTGCCGGATATTGTCCGTAAAAAAGGGATTTAGTCTAAAAACATGAGGTTAACAAATTTAGCCGATGGTACGTAGCTACAGCTGGCTTCAAAGTCATTTTATCATTGCATTATATTTGTATATGGGTTAGTTATTTGAAGATAAATAGAGAATGCTTGCTTAAAAAAGTCAGTAAAATCATGTTTTGTTCCGTTATGACAAAAATGACAGACACAAAAAGCAGTTAACAAGGAGAAGAACAATATAATGTCGCAAGTACTTTCACATAAACATATTAGTTCTATAAGAGATCTCAACACTTTGAATCTTCAAGTATAAAAAAAATTGTAAATATATTCGATGGCTGCAACGTCAGTGTTACAGTAAAGCTATAACAATATAAAATACTAACGCGGCTTGGGTGAATTGTAAAACATCTGAAAGCAGTCATCTACTCTGCTGCTTCTCCTGTTTCTTCATAGTTGTTAATGCCTGGCCAACTAAAACCCTGTCGCCTGAACACAAGTCAAACTCAAAATCTTTTGGTGCTTCAAATAACAGTATTATTGTACTACCCATGTTAAACTGGCCAAATAGTTCACCTTTTTTAAATGATATATGAGTTTCTGATTCGTCTATACGATGCCTATTTCCTTTAGTATTCGTTCGTAAATCAGGATCTTTGTAAATTTCTATAGATCCAACATTAGTAGCTCCGACAGCAGTCATGCTGAAGAATCCGTGTTTCCATTCGCCGATGTACACTGCTCTCTCATTCATTGTAAACAAGCCTGGTATTATTCTAGCCATCCACGGGTTTACCGAGAGTAGTTTACCAGAGAAATGTCTCCGGAATGTGGCAATCCAGTCACACGGTGAATGAAATCTGTGGTAATCCCCAGGAGCTAGGTAAATTATACACTGATGTAATATATTGTCCTTGTTTTTAAGCAAAGAATTGTAGTAATTAGGTTCCTTTTTCTCTGCCCATTTATTATCGCCTATAAATTCTTCTAGGCTGTATGTAACTCCCTTTACTTGTTCAATTTTGTCGGTATCGGCTGGACCGCAGTTCAAAACTACTCCATCGCAAGGAGATACGCATAATGCAGGTGATATATACCTCGCACCTTCACGCAAAGGTCTCGTGAAGAACGCGGAAAGGCTTTTATAATAAGATAAATCAGTGACCGCGGCGTCGTTCAAATTTACGTTAAAAAGTCGAATGTACGTACCGTAAACGTAACTTCTTATCGACGTAGGAAGCTCGCACGCCGCTATCTTCCCCCAAATTCTGCTCGTTACTCGAAAAGGGAACATTTCGTAAAATCGAATTTCTATCTTCGATATTTCATAGTCTATGCTTGCACGAATATAACACCAACCGACGTACATTACACTGCCAAGTGGCACCCAGCGCGTGATAATAGCGCGTAGATTCATCCATTTATTCCTCGGTAACGCCGCCTTTGTTTGATTCTGATGAAGCGTAGATGTCTGCCTAAATGGCCTGTGCGGTCTTAGTCGTTGTTTGAACATCGGGCTGATGACAGGAAGACAACTGCGTATTCGCGTCGGTGGGAACATATTGAGCGTTGCCACTTCCCGTCCAGCGTAAAAATAAAATACTGATCAAATTTTATTTTCGTTAAATGATTTTAATTGCATACAAAAACGTACGTTCAATCGCATTCACAAGGCCGTACCAAAAATATGCAGGAGCGTTTCGGATGTGTCATACTTACGTAAATGTTAAAGAAAAGAACGTCACAATTTTATTGTTGTACACATTGCTTCAATACTTGACTGTTTTTGTACTCACGCAAAACTGAAAATTCATAATTATTTAACAAACAAAATCAACAATTGGTATATATATGTGAAATCTCCATGAGAATATGATTATAAAAATGTTTGCGTTACTTACTTTTAAGGAAATAGAACTCGGTTTTCGAACGCATACGAATGTAACGGCACAGATAAAATAATCCAATAGAGTCCGTACATCGAATTTGCGATTAAGTGCCGATTTACGGAAAGATTAACAATCAATAAATTTTGTGAAACGTGCAAAAATTTCGATTCATGCTATTATATAATTTTAAATCTAATAAATCGATTGAATGTCAGTATTACAGATATTATAAAAAAAGAAAATTCGTAATTAAATCTCAACAAATTCTTTCGATTCAATCGATTTCTTTACAAATCGATTATCGGTCAAACAAATCCGGTTTGTTTTGTTTTAAAAAGTGAATGACAGCTGTCATTTTTTTGAAGGGAGGCGGGGAATAAATGGCTGTCCAATGTCCCCCGCGCTTACCTGAGTGAGTACTTGCGATATTATGAGCATTGTTGACGTTTTTCAGTTAGTATTTTTCCGTTTGTTATTTTGTTTACCATTTTTGGTTTTATCCTATGTCCCTACGCCGCAATGAAGGTAATAGTGTGTTTATCTGCGAAGCCACGGGCGATATTATTCAAGAGGATTTCGAGCCCGTCAAAAATGGCAGAGAGCCCCAGATTATGTCTGCATTCCGAGGTTTCCACAAACTTCCAGCAGTTCTGCTACCCCGAATTGACATCAGGCCATTCTTAAAATCTGAAATAATTGACGAAAACAACGATAAATCCGTTAGTGTCGGCACTAACGATTGTACAGTCGCCGACGAGAGTGTTGAGAACAATAAATGTGATTTATTAAGTAAATTTTCCATGATATGTAGTGTTAGCGTCTTAAGAGACGACCTTGAAAAGCTGAAAGATTCTTTAAAAAACGGCACTTTTGTTGATAATAGATTGAATATGCTTAAATGTAAAATTTGTGAGAAAACGTATCAGAATGAGAGAAAGCTGCACAACCACCAGGAAAATAAGCATATGATAGTTTATAGACCTGAACCGGCAAAATCACAGAAGCGTGTGTCGTTTTCTGACAAAGTTATTATCCACGAGTTGAAGGAATATCATAAATGTCGAAAATGTCCGAAGATTTTTGAGAATTATAAAGCGTTAAAAGGCCACATGAAACGTTGGCACAAGAAAAGAAAATGCTACATATGCAATTATTGTTCTAAGAAATTTGTAGATAGAATGTTTTTCAAAGTACACATAAAATTACACTGTGACATGTGCGGATTACTATTACCGAATAAGAAACAGTTTATACAACACAAACGTAATGTGTGTAGAGTTATCAAATACCACAAATGCAAAACTTGTAGTAGCATCTTCTTTAAAATTATGGACTTAAAAGACCATAGTTATGATCACACGGATATCAGCTACGTGTGTGATATATGTAAAGATCAGTGCCCAACAAAATGCGCAATAGCCCATCATATAAAATTTTTACATTCAAAAATACGGCCTACATTACTTTATACGGTAATTTGTTTAGGCAATGAGCGATTGTATTTATGCGATTTCTGTGATGAAAGTTCTGTGGATCGAGATTTAATTGAGACTCACACACAACTACTGCCGGATTTAAGGAACAGAGTAATGACCGGATATGAGGATTATTATTTTTGTGATCAATGCTTCAAGAAGTTTGATACAGAAACGGTCATGTTACAACACAAATGGAGTCATTTTTTGAAGACCAATGGTACGGAAACAGACGAAAATAAAACACAAGCCATAAAAACAGTTTATCGGCTTGGAGAGCAAATACCAGAGTCAATGCAACCTAGAGTCTTGCTGGAGAAGCTTGAATTTGATAGTCAAGAAGTAGTAGAGGTGGTCCCGTCTGTTAACGTAACTAGTATTGATATAAACATCAGAGATTTTAATAAACCTGTGGTCGACCCAAAGTCAAAGAAGACATTGTTATCGAAACATCAATGTCAGGTATGTATAGTTTAAATATTCTTACATAATTATGCTCCTATAATGTACAAACTTATTATTTATTACAAAAACTACTAAAAACTATTCATATGTGGTAAGTGCAATGCTGTTTATTGCAATTATTCAACTAAATCCCACACTCCCTTTTCCTGTTCCGAAACCAGTTTGCTGGCGCCTTTTTCTGTCACACACTAAAGTTTTAGTAGTAGATAGAGCACCTTGTGAAAGAGTTTGTCCAGGGAAGTAATGCCACCATACTTATTTCTGCCGCCAAGCAGTAATGTGAACAAATGGACTTGTCAACTTATGTCTCAGAGTGATGGGCGCAGTGGCCGTGCCTTTCAGATCAGTGAGATTTAAAGTTCTGAGTGGCACTGCAACTGTTAGGGACCGGCGTGTCGCTTAACTTCAGGCGCACGACTTGTTGGTCCCCCTCACTTAGAATCATAAAAAAAGTCAATAAAGGGAACTAATAATGAAAATAAATAAATAAATAAATAAAAACTTCCAAGGCACAAATCCCTCAGTGAGAGTCAAAAAATTATTTATTCCATAGGTAAAATAAATTAATACTTGAAAACGTAATTTTTTAAGGTACTGCTCATTTATTAAGCTGACTTCCCTGAGAAGAATGCGCAAGAAACTAGTGATTGCTGCTTTCAAATAAACTTAAATGCTATGAAATACAATTTGAATCAAAGTTTTTTCTTCCATATATAATTTTGGCTAAAACATGTACCTCACGCACTGTCACATAGTTTTGAATAAAAAATTATGGTGAATCCATAAAAAAATAAAATATAAATTGCACCACCCAAAATGATTGTTCAAACATACTGGAAATGTAAATGACAACACAATAATTTTATTTATTTATGTTCAGGTGGGAGTTTATATCCCATAAATACATACCTAATAGACTAAAATACATAATATTACAATAAAACACTATTTATTTAGACGTATGGACTGCGGCGTGTGACGCAACTTGAGTGTGCAGTAACCGGCCTCGGAAACTTCAATACATGACGCCACTAAACAAAACTCAACTAAAAAAATCAACTAAAACTCCTCACGGAGGTCGATAGGCTGTCACCACAAATTAATTAAAATTCATATTGTGGCGGGATCCCAACCGCTGAACTCTAAGGGGTAACGTTGACTTTCACCCGTATGTACTCCACACAGACTTTGTGGAGTAATGCAGCCGTGACACGTATAACAACGTCGTTGGTACCGCAGGATGCAATCAAAAAGCAAAAAAGTCCTTGAAACAAGCCATGAAGTGGCATGCAGGGTGGCTAGGACGGTAGTTGTGTCAACACTGCACTTCGTTCCATGTTTGAATTACACTTTTCATATCATATCAGGTTATTTGGAGTCATCTGGCGGTCACATTTAAAAAACCCAACAAAATACATACAGACATTTAATATTAATAATTTAATAAAAATAACCCATTTCTACATCTACACCGACAATTTATACTATGCTACTTAAAAATTGCAACTTTAGTTGCGATAACTTTTTAATTTTCAAACATCTTCACTAGGTACATTTATTATAATCGAAGAATTCCTGCAAATTATAAAAAGTGTTTGACAGTAAAAATTCTCTCAATTTCTTGACAAAAATTTGTTCCTTTTCAATATTTTTTATTGGGAGTCGTATTTAGTTGTAAATCTTTATTGCCATATGATGTGTACCTAAAGGAACAATCTGCAAACTTGTACAAGAACCAACTAATCTATTTCTTTTTGTTAATCTAGTTAAATAAGTATTATCATTTTTTGAAATAGACGACTATATTTTCTTTAAAATTTACAAGTTTCTAATATTTGTATTGAACTCAGGGTCAAAATCTTCAAACTAGAAAAGTGTGGTCTACAAATTTCAGTTCCTCTTATCTTACGTTTATTCCCACTAGTTCTGTTGTTCTGTGGACAGAACTACTGGTGTACACCAGAACAGAATTTGTAGACCACACTTTTTAAAAGTACCAACTTTTTCCCATTTGTTCTGTAAATAAATAGGCAGTTTTCTTCACAGAACTACTGACAATTTTCTCTCCCACTAGTTCTGTGTACGAGTTTTCAGTGTAGAGTTGTACATATAAATGTTGATAAAATAAAATTTGCCATATTTACGTGTGTAAATATGGCAAATGTGCGGACACCAGTCATTTCTCAACGTGGCTAATAGATGCCTTTACAGCTGCCTTTAAAACGCGGCGTGTTTTTAAATTTCAAAAAACTTAGTATAACAAACCTTAAATAATAACATTTTTGGAAAAGTATTTTTTATTAAACTTTATGGAATAGACTATTATTTGGTTCTTGATTTTTCGCTGATTTGTTTTTGTCTTTAAAACGGGTAAATACATAAAAAAAAACAGGTGTCTGTTTGGCACCTCACCTGCACTTCACTGGAAGTGTACATGCATTTTATTTGCAGAATAAAAAGGTTGTCAGCGTGTGTACTATTACCCCATAAAATAACACCATAACTCAGCCAAGCGAATGCATAAGCATAATAAGCATTTCTACGCTTTAATTCAAATAGAGTGGTTACATACGGCGATTTTTAACAGCGATGCAAACGCGCGTTTCTGAAACGCGCGATTGCATCGATGTAATCGGCTATTTTATATCAACGCAATCAACTGCCGCCGTGGCCGAAAGGTTACCATGCCGGACTGCCACGCAGAGGTCCCAGGTTCGATTCCCGGGCCGGGAGAAATATTTGTACTACCTACATTTATTTCTCTCGTGAGATTGAGTGTAATTTGTGGTTGTCTATGTGTGTCCATGGCACCCGCGACACAGGGTTTCCCTAGTGCGGGGCTATGTTGCGTGTGTGTGTGTGTGTGTGTGTGTGTGTGTGTGTGTGTGTGTGTGTGCGTGCGTGCGTGCGTGCGCGTGTGTGCGTGCGCGTTAATCGCTCGCGTGTGTAAAGGTAGACGACTAGCGACTGCATCGCTACTGAATCGCGTTTGCCTAGCTGCTTATTTGAATTAAAGAAGTACCAATTTGTAACCGCTCTAAGCGTACGGTTGGGGCGTCGGTTGGGGGGCCGGTTGAGGGCGGTCAGAGGTGAGTGACTCACCCCCTAACCCAATCCACCCGCTCACCCACCTACTCACCCGCCCATTCAAACCCACTCACCCACCCCTAACCGACCACCTAACGGTGGTCGTTGTTTTGTTTGATTTTTTTTTTTTGAAAAAGTTTCATTTGAACTATCCAAGAAGTCTATATTGAGGTCCACTTATATATTTCATAAACCGTATCATAAAGGCACTCTTCTAGTTCTGAATCAAATTTGTTTTTGAGTTTCAAAATAACGTCATATTTTTGCTAATTAATATGTCAATTAGGACGCGTTAAATTGGCCTAAATGTCTTGCAACCGGGCCATAAATCTTTATAAAAAAAAGAAAGATTGGTAAAAATCTTAGAGGATGGAAAAAAATAAAGGTTAAAATATATGCGGTACTTGGCCAGTTCTATTCTATCTCTTTGGTTTTTTGTTTTGTAGCGCTTGTGTCTATCATAATATGTGAAGAGGCTGTTAATGGTATCATTCTTTGCCTTCCCTAATAAACGAGATAAATTTTTTTTTTTTAATTGCTTTTTTTTGGTACTGTTTTTTTCATTGAAAAAGACAAAGGCACTAATGCGTCATACAGCCAAGACTGAGAGTACCTAAATTCTTTCTTGGAATCCATTACAAAATGTTTTCCTGACTTGCTTACGAAATGATATAAAATTATGTTGTCATGGATTGTTCATAAAATATACAATAAATATTGATTCTGTTTCATCACTTTATTTATTCGTAGAAAAAGAATCGTAGAAGAAAAAGTATGCAATCATTACATAATTAGGTATTAAAATCTCGTACCTAGGACTAGATTTGAAGAACCCTCATTATGCAAAGTTTGCATAAAATACTATTTAACTACAAGTTATTCATCATAGATCGTAAAATATATGATTATTACTTTTGTATTATTCTCTTAAGTTTGAATTTAATTTACTTAGCTGAAATATTTGGCATTAACGAAAACTTTCAAATTGCATCATAAAATGTTTTATGTAGACTGATAAAGGCGACGTTGGAATTCCACATTATTTTTACCAGTTACGACTTTAGATTTCGTCGTATTAATTGTAATTCTATGCCTTTAAAGCTATTGAATATTTGATAATCCACAATCAAGCGAAATAGTTTAGCTAAATCGTCTTCCCCTGTCCTGGCTAACTGTCTAACCAAAGAGTACCTTTTACATAACGAGTATAGTCATCAGCTCTTGGTGGCTAACGCGGGAAGTATTTTTCCCCTATACATACACATATCTTTTTATTTTTTGTAAAATCATGTGACGGTACCATCGACTTACAAATAAATGGACGACGGGTCTAATACAAAAACCACGAAAAAAATGTCCCAAGTCAACCTATTTAAACGTAGTGACATGTCAAGGAATATGACAAATCTAAAACGTTAAATTTAAATTGTAATGTCATCGCAGTACTGTCTAATTTTGCTTGCTTCGCTGTCAGTCGAACAAACGAGGACTAGAGCGTGAATGACGCTCTGTATACGATTTTAACGCCCTATAAGTTCGGACACTTTTTAGCGCGGACCCGACGTCCATATAATTGTAAGTCAATGGACGGTACGAACAAGCCGTGTGTCTGGTGGTAAGCTACACACACGCCTGTCCATAACAGTTGCAGTGCCACTCAGCTCTTTAAATCGCAAAGGTCTGAGGTGCACTGCCACTGCTTCGTCACCCTGACATAAGTTGACAAGTCCCATGTACCTGTAATTTCACCAGCACCCTTACCCTTCAAAATCGGAACACAGTAATGCTGACATTACTGCTTTGCGGCAGAAATAGATAAGGTGGCAGTACTTCTTTGGACGAACTCTTTCACAAGGAGCTCTACTGCTACAAATAAAACATCTCCAAATTCATTCTTTTTACTGCTTTTCTGGGTTCATGTTTTTATTTAAACATGTTTTGAAGTTAATACACTGCCTTTATAGAATATATTCAATATTTCGGGTTCTGAAAAAGTGTCTCAAAATTGTATAGCAAATATAATCGAAAAAAACGCTTATTTCCAGTCGTCACCACTGACTTTGTTCTCACTGGCAACAAATGGGAAAAAATCCATGTTACCAGGGGTTGAAAATTTATGCCATTTATCGCCACCTGGTAACACATGGGTCTTTTTCCCCATTTTTCGCCAGTGGGAACAAAGCCAGTGGTGACGACTAAGCGAAAAAGATGCCTATAGTGCCATGCATTGTACAGAAAGGAATAAACGCGTTTAAACACGAATAGATAGTTTCGGTCAGGTTGCACTGGCCGTGGTCAGGTGGCAACCTGACCGAAGCGTCGGGAAAATAAGTAGGAGTAGAATGTATTCGTGTTTACAGGCGTTAATTACCGTTTCCCAATGTTAGTACAATGCAACGCGAAAGTTTAAAAGTATATATTATAGAGCTCTGTCTATTGACGGGATTAGCATCAGAATACTCAAGATATTGTGGCTTGAACAAGCACATGTCAAACATTGGGCAGAGAGAAAACAGTGTGTAGATTCTCCTAACCTCGCACACCTCCTCACCTCATCTCACCTGGTAGGCGTACGAAGTTCCATACTGGGAAGGCATATGCCAGAACCAGTTGCGCTAGCACGGCAGGGCAAGACTTGCTCGAGAGCAACATAAAGCGAGAGATCTCTATGTCGCTCTCGCGCAATTCGCGCCCTGTGACGCTAGTCCTGCAGTGTTTATGTTGGATCATGTAATATTAAGACGTTTTTTAGTACTATACAGGTGATAAAAAACCACTGACCATTTTAAAGGAGCATATTGTATAATGGAAATAAAAAATACACGTTCGTTTTTTTTTTTCAAATACTTAACAAATAAATAAGTTATGACGTCTCAAAGTTTTCCGAAAAATTGTAAACAATATTGACACCCGATGATTAGCAGACGCCATTGCTATAGCAACAGGAGCAGTGGGCGGAGTCAGCGCGCGAGTTCATGTATTTGACAGAGAATAAAGTATTAAACTAACGCGCGATGCGTTAGCGCAGGTCTCTCGTCTCGCGGCGCGACGTGCTGGTACCTAGGCGTCTAGACAATTCGAACGCTCAATTTTATTTACTATTTTGAGGTAGCCACGCGTTAGAAATTATTGGGCAATATTAACATCAAAAAAATGGGGAGATTTTCTTTTGTTTTATTTCACTAATGTACTGTATCTTATGCGCAGGAAAAAAATGGCCAGTGATTTTTAATCTTTTAATAATTATACAGGATAATGCAATAAATTCTATATGTATATTAACTCTGACTAAGCAATATCGTTTGTAATTTCAGACATGTGGCAAATATTACTCCTCCAACTATTGCCTGAACCGTCACATAGAAACCCAACACAGCGATTACGAAAGCCTGCGATGCAACGTATGCGAGGAGACGTTCTTTTGGCCGTCTCTCCTAAAATCACACAAATGTATTCGCCTTAGCCGACCAGAAATGCCCTTCGAAGATGCTAGGCCGGAAATACATTTTGATAACCTGCAAGAGTTCACCGAAAGTAGTTTTGACGACCTAATTATTGATACAAATGATGATTATATAAACTCTGTGGACTTTGAAATACCAGCGCCAATCGTGGAGCTACATGAGAATTATGTATCGGACAATTTTGTATCCTCAACAGTGAGTAATGATGTGGAGGAGTCTTTCATGACGCCCACAGGGTATAAAGTGGTTATGCAAGAAGTACCTATAGAGTTTTAAGGGGCATTTTAAGTGTTTGTAAAATTGTACTGTCAGCAAAGTAGACACGTTACCACCTTAACGTATCTTTTTGCTATTTGTTCTTGACAACCAATGGCGTTTAAGGGTTAGATCATATTATATTTATTTCACCGGTGTACCTGCAATCTCCGCATTTAAACAAAATTATTTCGGGACTTGGAAGGCTTTAACTTTGCTGATGGTATGATAGTATAGTAATAACAGTTTTTAAAGGGTTGATTCCACCTGATGACGCGAAAATAATATCAGCTATTCCGTACTAAACGTTGCTGATTCCATTTCGTATTGATGTGTAGAATCATCCCCCAAAATACGGTAAATAAAAAATGTCGCCTTTTAAGACAAGCGTTTTTTGAAGTCTATCTCATGTTGATATTGTTAGGGATTATACTTTTTTTTCCAAGGATGGAAGTGACTTGCGGCGTCGCCATTTTTGGTACAATTTGAAATAGTCATGCGCGTGTTGTCGACAGTTTTAACGATAGATTGTGAATGGAGATGAAATATTGCAAAAACGCATTAATAGTGAACGTTTTGATGCCTTAATGATTAATAATTACATTATCGACTTTTTTTGGAAGTTGACTCACTGTACACACAAGTATTTAAATCACTTATATTTGTTTTTTTTTTAACTTTTCGGATCACAACTGCCTGAGATGTCATAAAGTGATCAACCAATTATGTCAACATTAATGCAAACCTATTTTTCTCTAATTATATTTACAAAAGTTATCAATTTCAATATCTTATTTTTAATTTACCAAAGAACATTCCAATTTACGCAACAAACGAGTACTTTTTAAATCTTAATTATATTAAAATGAAACAAAATCGAAAAACGATAGAATATTTATCGACTACAATCACTAGCTGCTTATAAGCAACCCTTTAAGCATGAAACTGTCAATCTCGTTAAACTCCATTTTGGAAAAATAGTGTGGCTTTTTCGAATTTCTTAAATGGCGACTACCCAAATTTAACTGTCGGTTTTAACTTTGAATAATAACACCATTTTTTATACATTGTATATATTCGTACAGTCACGTATTAATTATGTAAACATGAAACAAATTCAACTGTAAATTAGTTTTCTTGACCTATCGCCCGTCTCTTGATTTACTGTGGTAACTGACTTATTTACTCCGCTGGCTCAACGACCCAAAGTGGGTCTTGGCTTACGATACGATTTGGCGCCCTGTTTTGTGCGATCTCCTCCCAGTTCTCTGCGTACAGGGCGCGGAGGTCTTTCACCACTTCGTCCCTACATCGATATTTGGTCTGACCAACCGGTCGTCGACCACTAAGTCGTCAAATGTAGGACATTTTCATCGTCCTATGAGTTGGCATTATTTCGAGACGTCCGAGCCAATAAGTCTTGCGGACTTAATTGGCTCTGACACTATGTACGATACACGAACGTACATTTTGTAGGATAAGCACATTACGCCATTGACCGGTATTTAGGTCGATGCAACAAAACTACATAATAGACGAAATGCACTTTCGTTCTAAATCTCACTCGCAAGCCATCGCATATTCCATCTATCGTTTGTCATTTTAACAGTTCTTTTAGCAATAAAATCCGGCTCGAAGGACCATAAAGATGTACTACGGTTTGTTCACCTTTTAATGATAAGAGCCTGATGGAATGTGAAAGTTTTATTGCTAAAAGAACTGCTAAAGGACTTTTATTCGATATAGTTAAAACTAGAACACCGGAATATCTTTATGAGAAACTAACGTGGTCACCTAGTGTTAATGTACGCTAAAGGGAGCGATCTGTCCGATCATGTGTACTTATAGTACCACAACATAGAACTGCAGCTTTTCGAGGGTCCGATCAAATGTCAGTGGCACGAACGTGCCCGTGTCACAGGCCGTGGGAAGCCTCCTTAAGATCGTACATTTCACTTAGGGTCCGTATTCCAGAACTCTACTCAATGCTCAAGTATGATTTCTAGTGCTTTAAATCATACTCAAGTCCTGACTTGTGCATTGAGTAGAGTTCTGGAATACGACCCTTAGTTTGAGAAATATTTCAGAGACGACAGATAACGCGGAGAGAGACGGTAGATAGTTCAATTTTGATGATATAATTATCATATGTGTAAAATATTTATTCCATCAAACATTACCGAAAATTAATTGATTATAATTACGCTACATGTATTTTACACGTGGCTATACCATAGACTCCGACATGCACCCTCCTCAGAGATTAGGAATTATTTTTTCTCAAAACAAATTAAAAAAAAACGCGTAGTTGGCCGCACTAATTGCCGTACATTTAATAGTAGTTTGTGTGACTGTTACATAATGAAAGGCATTTAAATATGAGTGGGTAAAACATATCACACGACTCTTTTAATGCCTAATTAAGTACAGTTACATACACTGCTTTATCTATACACATATAATAAGCTCTCTGTGATTTGTTCAGGAACCGCATGTTACGACCGGCACTGCGGCTTTGGTCAGAGCTATTAGCAGTAATTATTAATAAAACAATGCAAAAAAACTTATTTCTCACGCAACCGTAATTTTTTAAAAATTCATATTAAACAAACTAGAGTCGACCCCAACTATCATATCATTCGATATCAAGCTTAGAGGATGGAAAAAAATAAAGGTAAGGAACTGCCTTATCTACGGAATAAACGTCCCTACCTAAACCAAAAATGTACACCACAAATGGCGGATTTAGTGTTGTACCACAATCATAGATAAGTCAATATCGACATGCAAATGTATGGCTTGAATATTGAAACTTGTTTATGTTTGCAAATTTGTGTAGTTTACTGTAATCAAAGTATAATTAATACTAGGCTATTAGTATTTGGCAAGTAATGAGCCATTTTAATCAAAATTAAATATAAAGTTACTTATCAATAAATGTAACGATGGAATTGCATTATCATGTAATCTAGTTACATTAAAAGTTCTATTAAAATTTGACTTCAATATGGAGCGAACAATTGAAGATGGTATTTGATTCAATGTTTGTGCTCGGCAGTTCTATAATTTCTCAACCATTCTTTTTCTTTTTTCATTTGTAGGTAAACTTTATAAATAATAATAATGAAATAATAAAAACCTCGTAGTTAATTGTTTTAATAACAGAATATCTAATATGTCTGCGTACAAGAACAACACTATCTCAAAATAATCGTTATCAACAATCATCAAAATATGCTAACAAACAGGCAATCTAAAGTAACCAAAGCAAAATTCGGCAAGACTTATGAATAAACTACTTAAATGAGTCTAATTACATGAGATATTTGGGCTATTGTATGATTTATAGGCACAAAAATAACACATGCCGTGTAATGTAACATTCGGTCGATTTCCGATTTTCTACTGCCGCACCCATTAATGCTGCAGCACGCATTTTAATCAATACTTAATTGTTCGCACTGTCAATATTTTTGTCCATTTCATTAAAATTCATGCGAATCATGAATCATTCGATAAAACATTTGGCCAAACATTGGTTTTGACATTTGACAACCGGAAACGGTTATTAAAGGGTACTACAAAAATGGCCAAATGAGGACAGTTGGCATTTAAGATGAGGTTACGTGTTTTTTATTCCCGTGTTTGACATAAATCAATGTAGTGCTATCTCTTTTGGCTTACATGGTTAAACAAAGACAATAAAATGTTTATGTTTTCAACGTCTAAATGCATCGTATACATATAACGTCTGATTTATATATGTGAATATAACATGTCCTTTGGTTTCCATAGACTAAGATATCAAGTAACGTGAGATTTGTCAAAATTGTTTGCTATTGACATTTCATTTCGAATAAAACTTCATCTCAGCTGATATTAGAATTGAGGTCGAATCAAATTGTTTTGTCTTTCAGAGATGTTCGAAAGTTGAATGTAATAATAACATCGAATTTGATGTTATTTTGAAGCAATAATAACATTTTCACAGATAAGTTGGTTCTAATAAAATCGTTATCGTTATGCTGGTCGTTATTTGCGGTCTTTGAACACATCATTGGCGAAATCGTCGCGCAAAACGACGGAACCTTAGCTCCAAAAGTTGAAGTTGAACACATCATAGAGGGTTTATAGTGGTGTAGATAAAATTATTAACGTGACTAAATGTCACTTTTTATTGTTTATGTTAATATTTAAGTTAAAGAAATGTTGTAATCATGGTCACAGATGATTTTATTTACTCGGCGTCGTTTATTTCGTAGCAACAAAGGTAAAAACATAAGTTATGTTGTTGTAAGTACAAGTTTGTTGCGAGAAACTGTTATGTGTTTATTTGCATGTAAGTTAGGTATAGCGGTCTCGTATCATTGGCGCTGTTTTAATTGTTGGCGCCTTGGAAGAAATGTACATTAGTTAAGATAGAACTTGTGCCAATAATTTAATTTAAAGTGACAATTTTTTTTTATTTGTTGTCCTTATTTGCTGATTTTTATTATTTTTTTCCCCGCATAGTTATTGAATGATAGTATTCTTCTGTACTCTTAACTTGTATTGTAAATTCGTCTCTAAATTTAATGAAACTGTATATTTCTCATAATGTTGTATATTAGTTAGCTGAAAGTTAGTAAAAAAATGAGCTCAAAAAATTTCTTTTAAAGTAAGTGTGTGAAACCATCAGTGCCGAAGGGTCCGTAAGGAATTGCCGAATTAAAATGTGTGTATTTAAAATCTATTTTATGCAAAGGACTGACACAGTAATAACCAGAAATAGAGACGAAATGTCATTTAATTTGTTTGAAAACTATTCTGCCGAATCATTACGGTGACAACTGTGTTCCTATTGGCCAGCCCGATTTCGAAACAATTGACGGGTGTCGTCAACTATTTCACTTGAAATCGACCAGTTAACTTGAGCTTTGCTATAATGAACGAAAATTGCAAAATTACATATTTAATATTTAATTACCGATGAAATGTGATTCCGTTTGTTTTGTAATAAGTTGTTTTATTCCAATAAATACAGAAAATTTTTGGTATATACGGAGACGTACACAATGGTCAGTTGTTGGCACTGTACTATTTCAGTTTTCTAATTTGTGATTTCAGCGCAAACGAGAGTTGGTATTTAAAAGTGATTGGCCCATTTACCTGATGAGTTGCCAGGGATGGGTGACCCTTATTTCGTCTCTATTTCTGGTTATATACTCGATGGACTGCCATAAGCAACTACCTTTTGTAGTTCCAACAAAATCCACTAGATGGCGTTGACCTATTTTAAGCAAACACTGAGTCGTGGT